GGCACTTTATTAGAACCAGATGAAAAACACCAGTAACAACTTTTTAATTTGCACGGACAAAATCACAATTCTTGGAAAAGGGGCAAGGTTATTGGTATTCTGTAATCTACCAGTGATAGATAGCTCTACTCCTTCAATAGGTTACTGTGTTTTATCTTTACACAAGAAACAGGGACTGCGTTGAATTGTTTACGATTCCAAAACTCCCCATTACATGGAATTACCGCAAAGTGGAATTCTGAAAATGTCTTTAGCACCTTTTGTTTTCAAACCAAATGCTAACCTTGTCAGAAGGGTGGCTTAACACAATTTCTTAGTTGTGAGATGGAGGAACAAATGAACCTATGTTGCTAAAAGGAGCATGAGAGATTGACAGCCTTGACTTTCAAGCTTTAAACAAAGGGCATGTGTCATTTGGCAGCTTTTGTTAAAGCAACAGCTTCTGAGCCAAGAATGTATTTGAAAAGTATGATGTTCAATAAATATCTTTAATGGTGAATATTTAGCATAACAGATGTCCGTGGCAGTTAAACCAACGCAACATCCTGTTCATTTTCCACCCATGTTTCTCTTTCAATTTTCAATCCTCCTCTTTCTGCCCTGAATACGTTTGACCTTTTTTCTGCTGAGGTGTGGGTTTGTCCAATATCTCTCCCAAGTGACCATTATTTATGTGTGAGTTTGGCAGTGTGCATTGGAAGACTGTTTAACTGTGAAACTGTTTAACAAAGCTGAGCCCATTCTAATCCAATGTCCACACACGTGCCTTCTAGTAGGGTCTCTCAGATATATATCATCTGATTTTTCCTTGCTCCCCAACTGAGGAGCACTGAGGCCAATTGTAGCCCCAAACCACAGTCTGGCTGTGACCAGCGCAGATTAGGATTTAAATCCACCACTTTCTATGAGGCTTCAAGCTGTACTAAGGGGCCTGGGCCTCTATCTGCTGGACCACACATCGCATGACACAGTTCTGAAACACTGCAGAATAGACCTTGCTGCGTTGTTGCACGTGTGGCATTTGTCAACTAAGAATAAACTCAAATGCTTCAACAAAAGATTGGAAATGAAAACAGTGGGTACAAAATTCTCTTTGTAGTCATTCAGGATTAGATTCAGTCCTAATTTTTTTAGACGTTGCTTTTCAGTAAATTTCAAATCAAAAGCCACAATTTGATTTACAAACAAGAAGTTACTTTGTGTATTGACTAGTATTGTGAATATTAAATTTTCAAGTAAGCTAACAATTGGTTGCTAATTCTATAACATATATTCAGTTACAGTGAGTTTGACCTGTTGTAAAATTGTAAAATTTGACCTGCTGTAAAATTCATATAATGGGGCACTAAATTAAGAGGGTAAATTTGAATGCCTTTATCATCATTATGTCACCAAGAGTGAATAAATCTAAAAAAGCTCTTAATCTGGGAACCATAAAACCCGATTAAATGCATTGAAGTACTACTGTCAGCAATGGAGCAAAAGTAGACAGAGGTGGAAAAAGTATGCTTTAAATTAGAGGTTTAAAGTGGAGCTTTTAGTCTGCAAGGGCAATATGAAGGCTGCTTCAACTTAATGCAGGTTTATATAACTCTAAGTTAGTCTTGAAGTTTATTTTTAAAGTGGGGCCCTTGTGTCACAAGGCTGTGGAGTGCTCTCTAAATCAGAACATGGCACGACAAGAAAGTGATTGCTTTAAATGGGGATAAATCAGCTTGAAAGCTGCAGTCTGATGAAGTGTACAGTATTAGCCAATGATTTCACTGACCCAGCTCACAACTCAAGGTCAGGTTGCTCAACAATCGACTTTGCACCAGTACTGAGACCACCTAGAGGAGGTGTTCATCCACCTAGAAGGGGCTACAATGTGCCTCAATAGAAGCAATAACCATAAATTGCACTTACAGGACCACCCTGTTATCACTCAGGTTTTCTTATAATGCTGTTGGGTTCTTGGACCCTGATGTTTTGTTACATGAAAATTCAAATTCCATTGTTATACTTGTCATCGCCCTTGAAATCCCATCATAATAATATGACAATAATTTATATTTATAGAAAGCCCTTTGCATAGCATAACGTTTTGCTGCATTTTGCAATGAAGGAGTCAGATGCCGAGTAAGGGAGTAGCAATAGAGTAATACTGTAGTGGTCTGGGCATTTTGCTGACAAACCATCCAAATGTCACAATAGTAGCTGGCCAGCTTTCTGCATATATATTACATATATATATATATAAACAAAATATTTGGTCACTCAATCCATGACTCTTTGTGAGACACTGCTGTGCAATTGGCAGCCACGTTTCGCACCCCCAAAAATATAGCCAATTCACTTTACAGTATATTCTATGAAGCACTTTGAGATGTCTCAAAGATGTAATAAGGCGCTGTATCAAATGCAAGGATTATTATTATTATTATTATATATGCACAGTGACTTCACAAATGGATGGTAAAGAAAGTTGCAGACAATAGCAACTAGATTTCCAAGAACATAGACTTAGGGGGAGAAACACACATTTGAACTTGTTTTCATTGGAAAGATTGTGAAGGGGGATTGTTAAGTGGATCAGAGGAATAAATGATGTGGATATAAAGCAGGCTATTTGACTTAGATTGTTTGAGCCAAACTGGACAGAAGGTTATTCAATTTAAAGTCTCAAGTGGGCTTTGAGATTAATAGATGTTTTTGTCCTCAGAGTAATGTGGACCAGATTTCGAACCATTGTAGTTGATGCTTCATTGATTAACTCCTTCGGAAAAAAATGGAATAAGTAGCTTCCTGAAAATAGTGTTGGAGGTTCTAGGTTTATATAATAATAAATATTCAATTTAAAGTGTATTTTGTAGGTGAGCATGACACACAACCCACAACATCCCATAAACAGCCATAGAGTGAATGATCAACACAATCTGGGAGATTCTTTTGTTTATATATATATATATCATCTCATCTGAAGAACGGCACATCCAACAATGCAGCGCACCCCCTCTCCCGCATTGCATTGGAGCAGACTGTGAGTTCAAAGACCCGACTGAGCCTTTGATCCTACAACTTTCTGACTGAGAGTGCTGCCAACTGAACCAAAATACTTCTGGGGATTGGGAATGTTTATGGAGGGTTAAGGCCAGGGTTGAATGGTGAAAAAGTGAAGACTGGGAAATAATCTCACTGATGCTGCTGAGTCAGAAGGTTGTGGGTTGAAGCCCTTTGTTTGGACTTGGAATCACATGGTCTCAGATGACACTTCAATGCAATGCTGGGGTGTACTGCATTGTCAGAGATGCCATCCTTTGGATGAGATGTTTACCGCCCACTTGAATAGGTAGACGGTGACTCTGTTTAAAGATCCCATGGCACTATCTGAAAAGAGATGGTAGTTTCTCCTCATTTCCTGGCCAACAATCACCCAAATAATAAATTAAATCACTCACTCCTTTCCTGTTTATGGAATATTGCTGCGTGCAAACTGGCTGCCGCGTTTTGCCCACAAGATACACGGTCAATCCACTTTTACAGTATATCCTGCAAAGCACTTTGAGATGTTTTGATATGATAAGGCATTAAATCAAATGCATGAATTGTTACCATGAATTATTCTCCTCTTTCATTTATGCAGAAATCTACCGGGGGAATAGAATGGATGATAGCCTAGGTTTTGCATGGCTTGTCGAAGGAGTGGGCTAAATAACGTTCCCACTTCCATATTCTTTTAGGTCCATTAATTAGTGCTAGCCACCATTTGTAATGTATAACAGCCTGGCTTAGTTGGTATCCTCGTCCTCACCTTTAAGGCCATCCATGGCCTTGCCCCCTCCTACCTCTCTGACATGCTGACTGCCTACCAACCTGCCCGCTCCCTCCGTTCATTGGGCTCTTGCTTGCTCCATGTCTCCCGTCCGACCCGCCCTACCATCGGTGGCCTAGCTTTCAGCCTCTCTGCCCCCACACTCTGGAACTCCATCCCACGGTCCCTTCGCCTTGCTTCCTCCCTCGCCTCCTTCAAGGCCGGTCTCAAGACCTTCTCTTTGACCATGCTTTTGGTCTCCCTCCCACCTCTCTGCCTTCCCTCACTCCTACCCCACCCCTCCCCCATGCTCGGGCCCCGATACCTGACTGTTCAGCACTTTGAGACATCCTCCCAACGTGAAAGGCACTCTATAAATGTAATTTTGATGTTGTTGTTGTTGTTGGTAGGTTTTTGAGTTAGTTAGAGGGTTTGGAGTTCAAGCACCATGTTGGGACATGGAACTTGTATAGTCTAACCCGGCACTCCAGTGCAGTGCTGGGGGCATACTGCATTGTCGGAGGTGCAAGCCTTCAGATGGATATTAAACTGAGGTCCTGTCTGCCTGTAAGTGACTGAGGGCAGTGATGTTTCTCACTTAGTTCCTGTTAACACTGCAAGCCAAAGCCTTAACAGAGTGATCCTAGCTGTATGAGCAGCTGGAAGCTTATAGAACGGTGCTTTCAATGGCAACCTATCTGGTTTTGGGCAGTCAAACTACAGCAGTTCCCCAACGTACACTTTGGGTTCCCTGAGCCTTGGCTCTTAACAACATGTGTCTGATAATCTCTGGAAAGAAGGATGTGTTCTTCTGGGGAGTGAATGTGCATTCCATTCTAAACGCAGAGTTATTTCCATGTGCAGGTGGCATACATATGTGGAACTCTTGGGTTTCCGAATGTGCCAAATACCCAGCTGACCCCAAAAATGCATGCAATAGCGGTTGGTCTGTTTTCAACTAGTATATCGATGTCTATATTAATGAAATGTTAACCCTGTAGTTTTTCTTCTTAAAGAAGGTGAAACTTTTGGGAATTGGTTGCTGTTTCAAACCTTCAATAAAGGTTGACCATAAATTGTCCAGGACATCAAAACAAGCAGAATTTGATGACCAGATTATTTAACCCTGTGGCTTTGCATTGACCCTGAGCTGAGATTAATTTGTACTCTTGATTATTATTTACAAATGTGCCTTGCCTTTTTCTTGCAGATTGTTGAATGCCATCAAACCTGGAGCTGTGAAAAAGATCAATCGACTACCAACTCCCATTGCAGGACTAGTAAGTTTTAGTTCTTTAGATTTAAGTTAATGGCACCATTTCTCATTTCTTTTTCATTTCCTTAGCCTTTTCTCTCCTCAAGGCTAGGATATGGCTTTATGGACGTCTGTGGTCTATGGTACTTTACCAAAATGATCCTTTTTGTGTTAGTCTGGAGAGCTTTGGTGAAATATTTGACTGCGAGGCTATTCAAGGTAACCCAAATCCTGCTTCCAGGTTACGCTTTCAATCTGTTGTTTGTGATTCATATCCCAGCTATATACAGTGCAGGCAGGCCTGTTTATAACATACTTAATTATGGAGCAGATTTGATTATAACTGTTGCACCATGGTCCCATTTGGCCGACTTTTTGTGCTAAAATAGCCTACTTCCAGGTCAATAGATCACTGTCACAGGTGGGAAAGAATTGATGTCGGTGGTGACCTAATGATACAGATGTTGACCATTTTTTTACTGCACAAGAAGTCAGCTGATCCATGCTGGAAGCCAACCATGGGTTCAGAGGACATTCACCCAAAAGGATTGATCTGTGCAGCCTTTACCCACGTTGAGCAGTTTAAAAAACTATTAAGATCATTTTTTATGCTGTTTTTAAAAGATTAATACATATTTTTCTCAAGCCTCTCATAACTCACTCCAAGCAATTTGCTAGTAGCAGTGAGATGTTTCTCCAGAATCCTCTTCCAAGGGCAAACTATCCCTGCATTTCCCATCAAAACAGTTGAAGCTTTTATTGGAGCAGTGAAATGTGGTCATGCTTTATTTATGTGTGCGTATGAGAGAGACAGCTCGAGTTTTACAGCAAGACAGCTCATAATACAAGGGAAATGGATTTCACCAACATTTTTGGATTTCAGTGCAACAAAGAAATCAGGGGGTGAAGTCTCTAAGTTTTTTTTAAAAAGAATAATCCATTAAAAACATGACTTTTTCTGAAGCCCTGGCCAGCAATCCCACAAATAATATTAGTCATCCACCTGATGGCTGTTTGTCAGACATTGCTGTATGCAAATTGTCTGTCACATTTGTCTACAAAATACACAATAACTACATTTTATAATACAGTATATGCTGTGAAGCTCTTTGAGACATTCTCCCATTGTGAAAAGCCCTATATTAAATGCAAGGACTACTATAAGGAAAACAGCCACCATACTTAATGGTAAACACTTGTGTAGTGCTTTGAAACGTTTTGATGTGATAAGGTGCTTTAAAAATTATAGGTTTGTTCTTTAACACTGGCACTTTGTTTCCCTCCTTTTACGGCTGTGGTATTGTAAAAACAGGATATTATCCTTATTCTTGGTTCGTCTTGAGCTGCATGTTTTGTACCAGAACTGTGAGAAACAGCAGCTTCTTTTGACTGGTTATTGTGTTCAGACACGGGCCTTTGTTTTTCAAATTGCCCCGATCAACATGGCCAGTGTGACAAGAACTTGAGAAGCTGAAGGCTTGATTCATAGTTCTCACAGCTTCACTCCAATACTGGCAGCCAACCACTAGCCAGAGGTCATAAAGTTGTCCTGTGTTCATTAAACTGGAAAGGGAAGAGGAAGAGGAAAGTGGGAGGGTGCAACTCAAGGTCTTGTCTCTGGGTTTGTGCTCAGAGTCTGTGCAATCTAAACACACATGTTGCTTTATGCTATTTGAGGGGGCAACATTGTCTTAGGTTATGTCTTCTACTCAAAGTCAAATGATAAATAATTCAGTGTTTCATTCTTTGGCAGTATAAATGATGATTGAATTCTCGGAGATCGTATGTTGTGAAGAGCGAGAGAAAATAAAATCCTTGCAATTTCTCCAGCCATAAAATACATGAGTGATGCCTTCATTTATACAGGCTGTCCCTGTTTTCCATCACCTGGGAATCCCAAACAACACCTGAAAATAAATCAGTACTTATAGTTTTGCAAAGACATAAATTCAACCTGTTCTCTCAATGGGATTGATTGATTCCACTTGCATCTTGTTTATTGTTGCTGATGCATGCCTCTGTGAGAGACAAGACAATATTACTTCGTTATGAAGTTTTGCAGAAAGGCTGTATTTGTGGAATAATATTGCAATTCAGTCAAAAATGCAATATTTGCACAATGGATTATTTCTGTTTTGCAAATATTGGATTCTGTGATTTTCGGCGAGATTTGTGCACAATGAATTGATGTTCGGAAGTTGGCTACATACAAGGAAAGACTGTGAGTTAAAAGGTTTTGCAAAAACCTTTCTGCACTCACCATCTGGAACTCCATCAACCTTGCCCCCTCCCTTGACTCCTTCAAGATCTATATCAAGATCTTCCCCTTGGACCATATCTTCGGTCATTCCCCACCCCCCACCACCCATGCCCTCTACCCCTCCTGACTCCAGCCTACAGCACAGAGGCAAACCTTTCACTAGCCAGCCTTGGGACTTCCTTCTGACGTGAAAGCCGGTATATAAATTCAAGTTGTTGTTATATCCACACCTGTACCAAACTTTGAAACCTCATCACCCCAGTCCTTGCCAGGCTCCATTGCAAAACAGATTGATTTCAAGATCCTCACTCTCACCTACAAATCACTGTAGCAGCTCCCTATGTCTCAACACCCACTCTCTACTCACCCCCTTTGTGCATCCTTCTGTTCGTTGCCCGATCCTTCTGCTCCATTGCACATTTGTCAGTCTATAGATATGATGAACTGCCTTGTAAAGTAACACTAGAATAAATATTGGAAATTCATAGCAGTTCATTCAGCAACTAAAAGAGAACAATAGGTTCATGTTTCGGCCACAACTCATTCAGTACTTGCTAAAACCAGTGTTAACAGGGCTGTCACTTCCGCCTTGCATAACAATTTTGCTCCTTTGAATGGAGGCTTTCAGACTAATATTTCCTGCTCAGCACACCCTTTCAGTAACTTGTTTTATTATCTGAGGAAGTTCACTTAACAATGTTGTATCAGTATCTTTCACTGAAGCAGTAGGAACCAATCTTGATTATTCAGAAATTGTGTGGCAATAAACCTGAGCAGACTATAATACTAGGAAGTCGGTGGCCAACCTTAGGACTTTAAACATGACTGCACTGTTTGACTAAATGCCATTTATTTCTCCATCTTCTTCCTTGCTTTGTTTCTTTGTCTTCACAACTCTCCCGAGATCCAAAATTGTGCATGGTTTTAGCCTCTAAACCATTGTCTTAACTTTTAAGATCATGCAGAATTATGGAATAGTCTTCAGCTTGGCTCAGTGGGTAGCATTTTTGCCTTTGAGTCAGCCTCTGGGTATTTTGTGTGTTTCGTCCACAAAATACACAGTCAATTCACTTAAGTATATCCTGTGAAGTGCTTTGAAACATCTAAACAATGTGATAAGTTGCTGTATCAAATGCAAGTATTATTATTAGTAGTAGTAGTAGTACTATAAAGCTATGGATTCAAGCCAAACATCAGTAGTTTGAGCTTCCAGTGTAGACTGAGGCACTAGTGCAGTGTGTTAAACCAAGATGTTAAATCAAGATCCCATCTGTCTATTCAACTGGATGTTAAAGATCCTTTGGCCCTATTCAAAAAGAGAAGGGTATTTTTCCCCAGTGTCCTGGCCAATAATCTTCCAGATAAAATTGGTCATTCACTTCATGTTGCCATTTCACGCTATTTGTAGGACATTGCGGTGCACAAATTAGCTGCTGCATTCGACAACAGTCACTACATTTTACAGGATTGAATATTTCTTGATTCATGCCATTCATTAAGAAGTGCTCATTGAAGAAAAAACTGGAAACACAATTCATTGAACATGGACTTACCTATACAAGTGCGAAGATTTGGGAGAGCCACTTTGATGGCTCCGGGGGCCACATCCGGCCTGCAGGCCACCACTGCTTTACAGTATATTGTGTGAATTGCTTTGAGAGCCTCCTGATGTATTCTGATTGTAATTATGGGAATTATTCAGGAAGCATTTTATATTTTAAAGCGTGAAATCACTATTGGATTAATGATGAATAAAGCCATTCAGTAAAATTTATTTGAAATGCAAGGGTAACCTTAGGTTACAAATCCATTGGATTTTTTTATGTTTCTTTTACACCTTGTGGCAAGTTACAACTATTTGAATCTCTTCCTCGATATGATATGTTTTGGCAGAAGCTGAACCAAATGACTTCTATATTTTATTTTAAAACCTTCTTGCAGGGATACAGAGTCAAGCTTCACTCATCTTTATGTGTGAGCTTTCACAGTGAGTGCCAACATAACAGCCAACCCTAGCCTGGTCTCACCTGACGTCCACACGTGCAAACTTCCTGCACAATTTGTACTGCTTCTTAAATGGGTTGGATTGTGTTACACACTTCATCTCTGATGGGGGAAGTTATCTGAAAATCACACTTGTGCTCTCTTTTCATCTCCACCCCCCCTCCACCCCCCACCCCCCCAAAAAAACAAATGTTTCCTTCATAATAGTCAATAATATCGTTATGTTAACCGAGAACATTATCTCGACCTTCAGATGAAACGTTAAACCAAGATTCTGTCTGCCTGTTCAGGTGGACATTAAAGATCCCATGGTACTATTCAAAACTAGAAGGAAGTTTCTTCCGGTGTCTTAACCAACATTCCGTAGCTGTGTGCAAATTGATATCATGTTTACCTGTACAAATTTACAGTCACTTTGAGACCGGACATGGAAGGTTGTATATCAAATGCAAGGATTTGGTTTTACAGTTCTTCAGGGTTATTTTGATTTAATTTTTATATTAAATCCTGCTGTTCTTTTCAATAGTTTTGCGGTCTGTCCTGGTTCATTTTTCCGCAAATCCTTAGTTTCCAAATCAGCATTACTCCCAGCTGTGATGCGAATTAGAAATTTAAACACAGCCAAAAGGTGGAGAAAACGTGAAACTTGGGGAGATCGCTACAAGAGTGCAGGATCACAAGGGAGGCTCGTGTGATAGATCAGACTCTGTGACTCAGCCCTAGGGATCACTTTATTTTTAAAAAAATATTTCTTTTGTGGG